AGGGTGGTGGGCCTTTGCTCCTCCACTGGCACTAAATCAGAGTCCCAGTGACACTGGTCCTGTGTGGGGCCAAGGGACACAGCTGCAGCAGGGCCAGCACACCTGCCTGGCTCAGTTCAGGGAAGAATTCCTCACCAGAAACAAAAGCAGCAGGCAGCACCTGCACTCCGTCAACTGCACTGTCAAAAAGAATTTAAACCATTTGTTGAAGTGTTTGCTCCTCCACTGGCACTAAATCAGAGTCCCAGTGACACTGGTCCTGTGTGGGGCCAAGGGACACAGCTGCAGCAGGGCCAGCACACCTGCCTGGCTCAGTTCAGGGAAGAATTCCTCACCAGAAACAAAAGCAGCAGGCAGCACCTGCACTCCGTCAACTGCACTGTCAAAAAGAATTTAAACCATTTGTTGAAGTGTTCTAATTGCAGGTTTGAAGTGTTACACATTTAATGACTTTGTTTATGAGATGTGTGTATATATAAATAAAATGTTGGAGACCTGAGACTGGTTTCCTGTTGCTTGCTCTGGTCAAGCTCCAGGGCTGCGCTGCAGCTTTACCAGAACAAGGGGTCTTTGAAAATAAAAATAAAGCTGCTAGAGATGAAACAGTTCAGGTGTGAACTTATCTGGAGCATCCTCCTCCTCCCCAGGCTCAGGTGGCTGCTCTCCATCTGCAGCTGCCCATATGAGCTGCTGAGCAGTGGCAGAAGCTGGTGATCACCTCCTGTGATACCTCCATGGACAGTTGCTATCCCCCAGGAATAGCCCTCAGCAGCCCCACAAAGGTCTCCTTCCTGAGCTGTGACAGAGATGCACCTTCACCATGATGCTGATACCTTAAGGTCAAGGCATGTGAAGAGACAAGGGAAATCCAACCAAGGGTTGAGTTTGGGGATCTCTGTTGGCTGTTTGCATCCTAGCTGGGGCTGTATTACCTTCTACAGGAGGCTCACACACTCTGGAGCTTTCAAGTTCAAAGGCACTGCAGGACATGCTGGTGACTCTGGAGCAGGTGCTGCTCAGCCTGTGGTTATCCCATTACTCAGCTCCACTTGGACTGTGAACCCAGCCCTGCACTGGGTGAGGGTCCAGGACAACATCTGTGTGCTCATGAGCTTTAAGGTTTGTTAGGAACGCGAAACTCCGCTTGCAGTGACCTCTCTGCACCTCCCTGCAGTGCCCAGGAATCCAGCACTACCACCCACAAGCCTCCCAACAACCCAACCTCACTGAGACACGGAAACCCACCACGGTTTGGGTTGGAAAGGACCTTGAAGATCATCCGATTAGGCAGAGACACCTTCCACTAGACAGGTTGTTCCAAGCCCCATCCAACCTGGCCTTGACTGCTCCATGTTCAGGAAGCAGAGCCTTCAAGCACAGCCCAGGCCATGGCAGCATGTGATGTTCCCCCTGAAAACTGCTTTTTGGGGATAAGGAACCAAGGAACAGGAGACAGGAGAGAGAGCCCAGAAAATGCTTTCCCAGGGCAGAGGAAAAGGCTGAGGAGAAACACTGTAAGGCAGGAGAAACAGCACCATGGTGCCAGCTCTGGGGATCTCATGATGACCTGGTGAGCACTCAAGGGCTCCTCCACAGCACAGACCACATGTTCCATGTTGGTGCCACAGGGCCCACAAGCACTGGGAATGGCACCTGTCCCCCAGCTCACCTGAAGGTGCTGCCCATGGCCTCTTCAACACTACAGGATCCTTCTCATACCATGGCAAAGCTTATTCTTCCTGCCAGGTAGCTCAGCAG